ATGTTAGACAAAATGTCACAGATTACCAGCAGCTCAGTTTTAGCTAGATGGAAAGCTTTCATTTTTCAAGACATTCCAGTGGTAGCGTCTTAATGATGAAAAATACTGCCTTTCAAAACATTTAAAATGGCTAGAATTATACAGATTTTAATGTTGAATACTTATAACCTGACTAGGGCATAGAGAGGTTTTGTTTCAAATAATACTTATTTGGTATTTAATCATTTCTACTTACCAGATTAAATGCCCCATGCTTTTGATTTTCATCTCAAAAAAATCATTTGGGAAAGAGCATAATAAATTCTGAGCTCTTTAGAGGAAACAGATACAGCATATTGAATATGGTCAACTGCTTATCATTTCCACGTTTTCCCTTGCCATTCTACAATGAGTCCCAAAGAAGTGATCTTCTCAACAGGTGTGTTTGTTTAAAAAGTTTTACAATACTATGAAAAGAGCTGCTTCAGCAACCTGGGCTCACATTGCCATCTTGTGGACTCTATTGCCCAAGCAAATTCCTTTCTTGATTACTCCACTCTAGTTGTTAGGAAGGCAGAACCAAACCGTCTTGACTAATTCTATATGAATGCCTTTTGCAGCTTTTTAATACACTCTTTTTTGTTTGTTTTGCTGTGCTTGTTGATTTAGAAAGGGTAATCAACATATGGACCATCCTGTTTTTATATTTTGTCAGGTGGATGCAGATATTCAGTGCAGCTAAGGTATAGATGCCTGCATATTTATCCTCACACACTTGACTCAGTTTTCTCTCATTCACATATTTTGAAAACCTGGAGAGAGAGTAAGGTTCACATATTTTCTTTCATTCATCTTGTTTAGAATTGCAGAAGGGAAATGATAGCTTTCTTTAGCTGCCCTAACAAATATATTGCATTCCCTGCTGATAGCTGGTAATTGTGAGATGGAGTGGGCAAGGTTCCCTAGGATGACTGCCCCAGCCCAGCTGGATTGGAGTGGCATATTGTCAGCCTCCCTGGGTGAATGAGACAGAAACCAAGACTGGATGAACTATATCTATTTTATTGTAAGGCTACATTGATAGAATCTTGCAAGTTTGAAGGTGCAGACTTCTTGTTGCCCTTGTAACTGCCTGAACAATTAGGGCAAGTCCTTCCTAAGGTTCTTCCTCTGGCCATTAATTCACAGGGGGTCCTGTCTCTCATTGTTTCCTAGATAGCATCTCTTCTCCTTGTCCCCCAAGGTCATCTACATATTCAATTACACATATAAAAGCTTTAGTAAGCAAATGCAGAGAATTCTGTGCCATTGGCAGCCAGCCATTTCTGTAAGTATGCCATGAGTCAGAAACAAGAAATTATCTAATTTCAATATGCAGTTTTCATCATGCCTTGACATATTTTAGCTTGCCATTATATTCAGCATGAGGAAACCAGGAGGACAGCACTGGGGAAATAGTTTTAATTATCCATAGCCTTTCTTTATTTGTACCTATCTTCAACTGAAACATAGCCTGGCAACATTTTTTTTCTGCCACATTCCCATGACATTGCCTTTATGAATGAGAGGAACCTAACTCATCCTATGTTAAAGTAGCATTTTCTTATTCTAGCAAAAGCATCAACCAGATATATAAAAACTGTTTGAATTTATCACCATTATGTTGGAAATCTAATGGCTGGTGATGACTTGGGTACAAAGGCAATAATAGGATTGAAGGCAATCAATTTCATGCCATGAAAGTTAAAAATGGAGAACAACTCAGTCATAGGAAATGCCTATTATCAGCCTATAGGTCATCCTATTCTTATTCATCAATACAATAAATTCTTGCTGATTCTTGTAGAATTCATGATGTAGGTTGGTGCTCAGGGTTCTCGGTGGGACTTTATGTTGGCTGTGATTTCAGGAGATTACAATCCAACACAGCTGAATAGCTAAAGAAATCTCCCAGTTCTGTTTCTAATGACCTTCTTGCTAGAGATGGCATAAGCTGAAAGTATGGCTTTTTGCATTTTCTAATTATCATTCTTTTCCTGAATCTAACTACAGTACCAATTATGCACTACAATGGAAAACCTTCAGAGCATCCTATATTTGCAGTCCAAACTTTATGCCAAAAACTACAATAATTCTTGGGACCCATGTCAGTTGGGCTTCAAGCCAGGGTACAGTGCTGAGACATTAGTTGCACTTGTTGATTTCTGGTAGAAACGGGATGAGGGTGGTGTGTCCATCTTTGTGCTTGTTCATCTCTTAGCAATCTTGGATAATGTTGACCACAGTATCCTTCTGAACTGGTTGTGAATGTTCTGGTGGAGGGCACTTAGTTGCAGTGTCTCATCTCCTTCATTAGTGGTCAGTTCTAGTAGGGGGAGATTGTACCTGCATCCCCTCACGCATGAGGGGCCTCAGGGCTTGCTTCTTCTGTTTAACATCTCTATGAAAACACTCCATAAAGTGATCTGAAGGTAAAGGTTCAGGATGGCCAGTATATTTTCAAAAGGCAATTGAACTTCCTTAGTTTTTTCTTGAAAACATTTTGCTTTTCACCCAAGAAGCTTCTTTAGTTCTGACTGATGGTGGGGAATGGAAGGATTTATATTCTTTGCAGTCATCTGGTCATTAGCACTGGTTGTTTTTATATTTATTTTTTGATTTGTATTTTTCGCTCTGTCTGTTTGTTATATTCTTTGCAGTCATCAACCATATGACTGCAAAGAATATAAATCCATCCATTCCCCACCATTCAGTAGCAGCTTCTTGGATGAGAAGGAAAACATTTTCAAGAAAAAACTAAGGAAGTCCAGTTACTTAAAAAAAAAAAAAAAACTTTGGGACAACCATGACATGGATGATTGAGAATCTCCATAGACATATCACCAGTATGCTTATGACACCCATCTCAACCCCAGGCTGTGCAAGTAAAGGGAGGAACAGACTGGCTCAAGACTGAGTGGCTGTGATTGTTTGGGCCTCTGGTTTTCATCTCTGGTCTTGGATGGGGTTGCACACAACTACTGCTTAAAGAGTAGGTGGCATCTGTGGCCAGAAGGCCCTTTGTATATGTCCATCTTGGTGCCAGCTGTGCCTTTTTCTTGACCAGAATATCCTTCAGATAATCACTTATGCCCTAGTCATCTTATGATTGGACTATTGCAATGTGCTGTACATGAGGCCACCCTTGAAGAGATCCAGAAATTACAACTAGTTTATGATTCAGAGGTCCAGGCAGTAAAGGAGGCTTATAACTATGCTCAAGTGCCTTCATTGTTTCCAAGTTGTATAGGTTACATCGGCTTGAATTGAGTACAATTCAAGATGCTGATCATGATGTATAAAGCCCAATATAGCATAGAACAGTGGTTCTCAACCTGTGGGTCGGGACCCCATTTGGGGTCGAACGACCATTTCACGGGGGTCATCAAACAACGCCATTTTTCCCCCCTTTTCCTTAGCTGTGCTACTCTCTTTTATTCTATTGGCTTTTGAAAGCCAATAGAATAGACTCTCTTGAATAGAGTCTAATTCTATTGGCTTTCAAAAGCCAATAGGAATTGTCCAGGCTGTCTCTGCCCTGCTGAGTCCGCCAAAAGTCCCATTCTGCAAACGGTGCTGCACCAGTTGAGTAGTCCTCGACTTACAACCGGTTGAGTAGTCCTCGACTTACGACCGGTTGGGGGTCGCGGCATTAAAAAGGTTGAGAACCACTGGCATAGAACGAGGCTATTCGAAGTAGCACTTATCTCCAATTGTTTCTGTTCACTCAGTATGATTGGACAGAGTGTTCATGCTCTGGTCCCTTCAGTTAAATGTCATATTACAAATCAAGGAAGTATGTTTTTTCTCATGAATGAAGGCAAATGTGTTTTTTCTATTACAATGCATATGTTCTGGAACAACTTCCTCCTGGAGATACATATGGCTCCCACCCTTAAATCAGGGGCTCCCAACCTCTGGGCTGCAGTCCAGTGCTGAGCCAGGGTCCATTAGGAACCAGGCCATGCAGGCAGCGGATGAGTGTGTGAGCACATGAAGCTGCACCTGTGCAAGTGGCACACGCACCACACATGCACACAAAACCATCCCCTCTCTACCCAGCGGCCACAACCGCCGGTCCACAGACCTGGAAAGGTTGAGGACTGCTGCCTTAAATGGTCCATTAATCATTGAAGACCTGGATTTCTCCCAGATCTGGGGTCAAGATGAAGATCCTGATGAATTTTTTTCTTGGGTATTTATATATATATATATATTTCTGGCTGGACATGTTTTTTTTTAAATGCTTTTTTTATAAATGGTAAATTACCCAAGTAATCCCGACTTTGTTCTCCTGGTCTGGAATCTAAATTATAGGTGGTCCTTACTTAGCAACTACAATTAAGATTGGCAAGTGCCTGGTCACTAGATGGAAAATTACAGCACTGCAATAGGCTTACATCCTTACTTCCCCTTAAAACATCAAGTGAAGCAGCATAGTAACTAAGCAAAAAAAATCATGACTGTGACTTGCAATTTTACTTCTACTTTGACTATTAACTCTACTTGTCCCAAGCCAGCTGGCAAGCATGTTAATGGTGATCACATCACCACAGGATGCTGTGATGATTGTAAATACAATATTTGATAGTAAACGTTTTTTTCCACCATCGTATCTGCTAACACAACTTAAGGCGTAAGGCAGTCAATCACCAAGGATTACCTGTAACATTGTACAGGTAATCCTTGACTTACAGTTCATTTAGTGACAGTTCAAAGTTACAACAGCATTGAAAAAAGTGACTTATGACCGTTTATCACACTTTGCCGGATGCTTGGCAACTGACTCACATGACAGTTGCAGTGTCCCATGGTCACATGATCACCCTTTGTGACCTGACAAGCAAAGTCAATGGGGAAGTCAGATTCACTTAGCAAAGTTCCTAGTTTAACAATTGCAGTGATTCACTTAACAAATGTGGAAAGAAAAGTTGTAAAATGGAGCAAAACTCAATGTCTCAGCAGCATAAATTTTGGGCTCTACAGTGGTCGTAAATTGAGGACTACCTGCTTTAAACAAAGCAAGCCTCTATAAAGGACATCAGAAGACAATAAAGAGTAGAATGAAGTGAAAATGGGATAAAATGGGAAACATTTCTAAGAAGCTGGGAAGCAAAGCATGAATGCACAAGCTTCACTTATCCTTGCTCCTTTGGCAATTATTACTATGGCAGGTAGTTGCCTAGTCAGCCACGATTAGATTGGATTTGGTAATTTTATTCACCTACTGACTCTTTCCCAAATACTTAGAATAGGCAGATGTTATTATTTAATGGTGTTAAACTATCGTCGCAGGATGTAACATCTTCCAGGTAAAGCTGCCTTTCGCAATTGACTGATGAGATTTTTGTCAACGCCGATAGTATTATTATCCGATTCTGGTTGTTCTGTTCATTTAGCTGTCGTAAAAAAAGGAGCAGACGAATTTGCCTACCCCGCTTCTCATGCAATGTAAGGGGACATCCATCCACATATCATCCGGCAGTTAATGCTTTAAGTTATCATGCACGTTGCTGGCGAAATGGTTTCTGAATCTCCCGCCCATCAATCTATGCGAACACACCACGCACAGAAGGCGCAGGGAGGCGCCCGCTGATAATTCCCGGCGTTGCTATCTCTGACGACGCATATTGCTATCTTGTAAGGGAAGCGTAAACGCTGCCTTCCACCTCTTGCTCTAATCCCACCCCGACCTAGTCCCTGGTTAGCCATTCGGCATATGTTAGATAGACAGATAGCGGCACTCAGAGCGCATGCCCCAAGAGGTGAAGAGCGTCCGAAATATTGCTGCGCATGCGCCACTCGGACGATCACCCCCGGGGACGACCGCGTCACTGTTTCTTCTGAGACTGACTCGACCGAAACAAGGTCGGTAAAAGGGAAGCACGCCAACCGACCACCAACGAATGAAGTCGGGAAACCTTGGGCCTATCAAAGCTTACTTCTCCCACGTGGGGTTAAAATAAGGCGGGATCTTTTCTTCGATTGCTTCCCGGAGCCGGCCAATCCGCGTTGGGATCAGCCAAATGAGCGAGGCAGCTTCTCTCCCAGTGGCCCGACCTCGATCGCCGCTGGCCAATCAGGAGAAGCTGCGCAGGATTCTCGCGCTTAGTCAGTTGGAAGAGGCCGTTTCCCTTGTGCCCTTCCCCCACCCTCCTTCTCCTGTCGTGCCACCGACGGTTGGGCAGACTCGCGGCTTTTTGCCCGCCCCTTTCGGATTTTTATCTGTCGTTGGGACCGGAGTTGAATTACCATGAGCGAGGGCGGCGAGGACTGGGGGGCCCCGTCCCCTAAGCAGCGGCGCTTAGACCCGGCTTGTCAACTGCAGAAGGAGACTGAGGCAGCCCAAGCTCTGGCCGAAATGACGGCTTGGGGCGGCGGGAGCTTTGAAGTCCTCAACCAGCAGGAGGCGCACGCGAGCTCCGCAGCAAAATCGAGTAGCCTGGAAACGGCCGGCCAGCAGGGGGTGCGCGCAACCGCCCCAGCGGTCGGGGAGCGAAGCGCTTCGGGGCAGGATTTGGGGACTCGGTACGGCCGCGCAGGGGTAGATCGGGAGGCGTCCTCCGACGAGGAACTAGGAACCGCAGCGGGGGGCGTGGAGACTGCCAGGCTGAAGCGGAGGAACGCGGAAGCCGCCGCCACCGCCGCCACTGTGAGCGATGACTATGAGGACGGCCGGGAGACCAAGAGAAAGAGGAAGGACGCCAAGGAGAGGCGCAGGGCTGCCGAGGGAGCAGCTGAAGCAGCAGAGGATGAGTGCTCCGTCATTTCGGTGGGGGAGGAAGAGGAGGAGGAGGAGGACGACGACGAGGAGGAGGAAGAGGAAGAAGGGGGCAAACAGCAACCCACTCGCAAAACTGAGCAGTACTTGGAAGCCCTGGAGGCTGTGCAGCTGGAACTGGAAGCTGTAAATCAGCAGGCCAACCGTGCCTTTGCCCAGCTCAAAGCAAAGTTCAGTCACATGCGGCGCCCACATCTGGAGCGACGTAACGTCATCATTCAAAACATCCCCGGTTTCTGGGTCACTGCTGTATCCTGTCACGGCTGCTAGCTTGTTGGGAAAGGGTTGCTAGAAATGAGAGGGAAATACAACACTGTCCAGTATTGCAAAGAACTTGAAGGAACATTTTGAAGCTCTGTTATGCTGAGTTGGTCATTAATCCATATATCAATGGACTAATACCACATCCTTCCTTTGTAAAATATTTCATTAGGGGATATACTCAAGGAAACACTGGGGAAAGTAAACGGGTGGAGTTTGGGTTCTTCCAATGGCAGAATGTATACATGACAGTGTTGCATATAGGTTTAGAATCTCTGTTTGCATTATAACTTTTTGAAAAGTTTTGAATAGTATGAGTTTTTTTTTTCTCCTTGACATTAACTTTGCAGTTTCTCAACCATCCTCAGCTTTCAGCCATGATCAATGACCGGGATGAGGACATTTTGAGTTATATGACCAATCTGCAGGTGATTTCAACAAAGTTATGCTTAGAAACTAACTTGAAATTGAATTTATCACTGAAAGCAATTAAACTGCTGTTGAAATTTCTGAATTCTTTCCACTTGAAAGTCCCTATAGTGGGTCAAGGGTGGTAATAAACAGTATCTTGCTACTCTTGTCGGTGCAGGCTTTCCCAGCTAGTATTAATCCAGTGGTGATGAACTCTCAGGCTAATAAGCGGTAGAGTAATTATTTGCATCCTGACATTTTTCCAGAAACTATGGCTAGCATCTTCGGAGTTCAAAGTGATCTATTCTGTAACACTCCTCTTGCTACTAAAACCTTGCTAGGGTTTTAATTATGGCATTCTTTGATACGTAGGTTGTGGATTTCACCCATGCAAAGTCAGGCTGCAAGATCAAGTTCTACTTCAGCAGCAATCCCTATTTCCAGAATGAGGTCATTGTGAAGGAATTCCAGTGTGGTTCTTCTGGTATGCATAAGGGGACAGTGTTTTGAGGGATCAAAGGTCAGATTTGACATGCATGTGTGTTTACAGCTGTATGGTTTTCCCCTATCCTTTCCTAGGGAGATTAGTTTCTCATTCTACACCAATTCGCTGGTGGCGTGGCCAGGTCCCACTAGCTCATGGCCAGAAGAACTTCGAAATGGGCCGCAGCTTCTTCAGTTGGTTCTGTGACCATAGCTTTCCTGCAGGAGATCGCATTGCCGAGGTAGGACTATACTGCTTACCATTGATGAGAACTTGCTCCCCAAATGTTGCTCAAGCATCAGCATCCACCATTGCAAGAACTGGTGGGCCACACTTCTAAAATGCTTGTTGCATCCTTATGCCCTTTTACCTGTCACACTCTTCTGTTTTCTTTAGATCATTAAAGAAGACCTGTGGCCCAATCCACTTCAGTACTATCTGATGGGGGAAGGTGGTGAAAATGGTGAAGAAGACAGGTAAGAATTCAAGTAGTTTCTTGATTCCTTGATATGGAGATTATGGTATAGTGATATTTTTGGCAAGAATCTAAGCCTGCCATTGTGTGTGGATATAGATTTTTGTCTAGGTTTGTGGCAGCAGGACGTAGGAGGAGAGAACTAAAGAGACGTAGGAGAAGTGGACTTCATGAAGACAGGGCTTCGTGGTATACAGCTGGGAGGTCCGCAGAAGATGATAGATAAATGGTGATACACTCCCTCCTTCCCTTGTGTTTAGTGAGACAGAGAATGGTGATGACTTTGTTGTGATTGTGGATGATGATGGCGAAGATGAGGAGGAAGATGGGGTGGCAGATGTCCATGAAATCATAGATGAAGAAGAGACTGAGCGAGGTAAGTAATGGTGGAATACAACTGCTCCTCGTAAAATGATATACCCTTCGGATCTGAAATGCAGAATAATTGTGAGTCATCCAGTGTTTGATACAAGAAGGGCAGCTATTAAGTAGGTAAATAAATACATGCTGATACAGGTAGTCTTTGACATATAATCACAATTGAGCCCAGATTTCCACTGCTAAGCAAGACAGTTGTTAAGTGAGTTTTGCCCCGTTTTATGCCCTTTCTTGCCAGAGTTGTTAAGTGAATCATTGCAGTTGTTAGTAACACAGTTGTTAAGTGAATCTGGTTTCCCCATTGGCTTTGCTTGTAGGAAGGTTGCAAAAGATGATCAATGACCCCAGGATACTGCAACCGTCAGAAATATATGCCGGTTGCCAAGCGGACAGATTTTGATCATGTGACCAGGGGGATGCTGCAATGGTCGTAACTGAAAAACAGTCATAAGTTGCTGTTTTCCGTGCCATTGTAACTTCAGACGATCACTAAGCAAATGATTGTCAGTTGGTATTTGTACTTGGTGATATGTATGCTGTTCATTCCTAAAGGCTCAGAGCAGCTAACAATCAGGGACATCATGAAAGGAACTTCTCAATAAAAACAATAGATTCATAGAAAAATAAGAAAATAAGAAAAATTTCAACACATACAGAACATACAATACAAAGTCATATGCCCATAAATGCATTCTTATACTGTTTTCAAAGCATGCCTTCCTTCTGGGAAAGGCAGGTCTTAACGATTTTCCTGAAATCCAAAAGGAAAGTGTAGCGCAGATCTCTATAGGCAAGAAGTTTTAAATTGTGGGGACGATGACTGAAAATGCCCATTGGCTAGATTTCATCAGATAGCAATCTCAAATAGACATGGAGAATGATGGAAGATCTTAAAGGTGACAGTCAGCACCTTGAATCCCTCCAGAAGCTAACTGGCAGCCAGTGCAGTGTGGTCACTGACGTATAATGATAAATACCTGCCTAGGTTGCTGCATTTTGCAGCAGCGGTAGCTTTTGAATGTTTTTCAAAGCAGCCTCATGTAGCGTGAATTACAGTAATCCAAAGTAGAGGTGACTGGGCAATAGGTTACTATGAGCAGAGATTTCCTAATTTGCCCTAATTGGGCAATAGCTCTTCCTTTCATAGTTGTCACCAGCTACTTGAGCAAAAGCTTTGAGATCAGTAGGACTGCCAATTTACCTCCCACCTCTGAGCAGGAACGCATAGTCTTAATTCAGAGCCAAAGATGATGATGTCCTGAGGTCATTGGCTTACAGACTCAAAGCTGTTCCATCTATGAAGAAGTCAGTTATTTATTCCTTCTCTGAAAAATTCTAAGCACCAAGTCAGCACTTCTATGGCATCATCTGTTTGATGATATCTGTATATAACTAGATATCAACATAGATACCTAATCTCCTTTCAGTAAATGACCTCTCCCAGCAGTTTCATGTAGATTAAAGGAAAGTGGAGAGAAGAAAGATTCTAGTGTGTTTCACAGAGGAGAGAGTTCCAAGCAGATCTTTCTTTTCCCCACTCCATTGACTGGAATCAACCTTATTAGGAAAGAGGAACACCACTGAAGAACAATGTCTCTCCACCTGACATTCCTCCCCCCCCCCCAAAATCTCTCAGAGCCAGCCCGGAAGGATACCATGATTGATGATATGAAAAGCCACTGAGAAATCAAGGAGAGGATCAGGAGGTTGTATTTCTCCAATCTCAGATCCTCCAGATAATCCAGTTCTTTGAGGATCTTTTGATGTTGCAATGTTACATTTTGTAGGACAAGTCTTGGGATTTGGTCAATTAAATATTGGAAACATGGGCAAAAAGGGAGTATTTTTCATCAGCTGTTTCAAATTTTGACATATCTTATTTATTAACACAGGTGAAGTGGTGGAAGAGGTATTAAGTGGCCAAGAAGATGATATTGCTGGATCCAAGTCCTCCCGAGATGAGCCAGATGGGAAGGATTCTGAGGTGGAAGAAGATGGCTAGATTAGCTTATAAAAGAACAGTGTATCTGGTTGGATTTTCCTATAGGGACCTCAGTGGCACTTTGATGCTGACCAATTGCACTTGGACATGGCAAAAGATGGGGTGTATCAGCAGCGGTCACTTAGATTATTTTGTATCTTTATTTATTGTATTGACTGCATTTCTCTCTCTGCCCTTTTGGGGGCACTATGTGCAAGCACCCCCTTAATTGTTTGATGCTTAGCATCTCCTACCTGCCTGTGTGGGGGCTGTATGCTTATTTGCCCTGTCCCCTGGTGGCTACTCAGGGTCTTGTTTGCCCAGAGGCCTTTTTAAAACAGCTCAGGGTTTCCTTTTTCCATTCAGCATTATTAAGCTGCTGGCTTTTCGCACCTTCCTTGAACTCTGCTTATAAGGATTCTACTCACCCTGTATATATTTTAGCTTAAGTATGCCTGCTAGCGGCCGACCAGTGCCTCATGCCATCAAAACATAATCCCAGTCTTACTTTTTCCACATTGAGGGTAGGGCCTAACCTAATGGGACTCATCCATCGCCAATGCAGGGTTCTGTCATTCTAACCTAGTTTGTAATAGCTCCCGTTGATCTAAATGGCAACCTTGCACCCATTGGCTTAGCTGAAGCAATAATAGCTGTCTGGATGCACAGTATTTTCCTTGGAGTTGTTAATGCAAGGAGAAAGGCTGTGATGATGGCTTTTTCTTGTGTTTGATATTTTCTCCAGTGCTCCAGTTCATGAAAGCAATGGCAAGATGTTTCTAGCAACAGCGTGTATATGTGATTTTATTCTCCAATGTACTTTATGTATAATTGCAGACAATTTCCTAGCAATGTTCCTAAAGCATCATACCCAGTTGGATTTGCCCATTCCCTATACCCCACAGAGGCTGTTCTATGCAATGCTACTGATATTTGTAGAAAGGCAACCATTTTCCTTGGCTGATTTTTTTGTATATTTCGTATCAGGACTTTGTACTTTTTTTTACTATAAAAAAAAGCACTTAACGTACCAAGCGCTTTCCAATTTGGTGTGTGACTCTTTTATTTTGAATATCTAAAGCCTCATATTCTGTGCTCATAATGCCTATGTAAGTGAGGATATACAGACAAGTTATACTGTATATGCTTTACTCTAAAATGGGAGGTGAACTGGCACAGAGGGGAACTGGCACGGAGTAAATAGTGAAGGATGAATATGAATTATAAAAGAAAAAAGTGAATATATTTTGCATTACAGATAGTCCTCACTTAGCTATCACAATTGGGATCAGTAACTCTGATGCTAAGCAACATCATTGCTAAGTGAAACATATCTATGAGGGTCTTACAGTGTCACTTCCCATTCAGTTGTTTAAGCAAATCAATGCAGGTTTTAAGAGTAGCTGCATCACAGCAACTTGCAATTTTATTGTTGGTTTCCCCATTGACTCTACTTGTTATAAGCTAGTTGCAAAGCACAGAAATGGCAATCACAAGACAGTGGGACACTCTGACAATTGTAAATACCCTCCCCTCCAAGTTGTGGAACATCCAAATTTTGATCACATGACTGCAGGAACAGTGCAACAGTTATAAATGATTGGTCATAAAGTTACTTTTTCAGTCCTGTTGTAAGTTTGTACAGTTGCTAAACAGGGCAGTTGTTAAACATGGTCTACCTGTATAGAATTTTTTCCTCTGAGCTGTTGGTACTTCATGCTGATACATAATACGTTCAGTACTAAAGAACTCAAAAATCTAAACATATTGCAAACTCTTATAATTGCAGAACACCAGGAATCTTGATGGTAAAAAACAGTAACTTAGAATAGTAATTTTTAAATAGTAAAGTAGAATAGTACTTTTTAAAAAGAAATATTAAGAAATGCATTCCTTATGTAAAAAGCCTGGACCTGATAACTTTCTTAGAAATGGTTTGATGTGGTCTTTTTATGGAGTAAACTGCATTTAGCATCTTTAAGTGGGGGGATAATACAGTAATTCTTGAGCACCAGAATAAATATGCTTGCATGTTTTTTTGATGTGTGGAGATAGGGTCATTAGGATGAACTATTGTAACTTCAACTTCTCAGAGATGCTAGTATTTCAAGTATATGAGAAGGGTGGTATTGGGAAGCATATAAACATGCAATCTTTTTTCTGTGTTCTGAAATGATTCACTGTGGAAAGACAATTCCATTGGATTTTTCCTCCCTAGGAATTAAAGTGGAGCAATTGAGGATATGTAATACATTCTGAAAAATACATCTGCTTGAAAATTCAGAAATTGGTTACAAGGCAAAATAATAAATTTACTCATTTCCACAGCTCGATACATTTACCATTTGAAAGGTTGTCTTTTATAATTTGTGTTAATACAACGTATGACTGCAGAGTTTTGTTTTTAAGTATGTGTGTTGGAGCTTCATGGCTAGTTAACAACAACAACAATAATAAATTATTCACTAGCCACGAAACTAGTGTTAATAATTAAGTGCATTTATTATTGGCACATCCTGTTCTCTATAATTGTTTACTTCATTTTAACTTTATGCATACATGACTAGAAAAATCTATTCTATATCAATAGTAGATATTACAGCTTACCAATTCAAATATAGCGGCTGTCATTAATACATCTATATTTTCTGAAATCTGTTGCATAGAACAAACTCATTGTAAATGAAAGCTGCAGCTACCATACTACTTCATGAATGATTTGGATTATAGTTATACATTTTACCAGTGACACAATGACTGATAAGATATGCCTGTTTCTACTTCTGCTTAAACTAGAGAGTTTGATGAGATAGGAGAATAAAATAGTACAAAACACAGTCCACACGAACAACAACTAAAAGCAATTTGGAAAGAAAAACCTTTCTGCATTGCCAGTAAGTGATACAGTACATTATTCTTCTGGATTGGATACTTCTTTGTTATGATCCAGACTGAAATTTGTAGACCTTAACTAATGATTTTATTTACGGTCTCCTTTATAAGTTCCATATAAGTAACATTTGGGAGCAAATATTGATTTTCCAGAATTTTCTACCCTTTTTATGTTCTTTCATAGCTATTAACATAACTAATCCTATATATTAGCAATTTTGACCATGGATTTTTTTTTCTTTCAATGTAACTTTACAATATCATTGTAAAATTGATAACCAAGTTGTTTTATCTTAACACTAAACCTAGTAATTTCTAGAACCAATCTTAGTCATTCTCTATTCCCTCTTTCCAACTGAGCAAATTAAAGAATCAAATGTCTAATTTTACAAGGAGTCATGAAGCAAAACTGAAAAAATATTACAGTACATTAAATATCTCAATATACATTTTTATAAAGCTTTATATACATTTTTCTAGCACTGATGATGTTACCTAGTTAGGGTAATGAAATGTCTGCAAGAAAACAAGCTCAGAGAGCTCCAATGTCTGCAAGAAAACAAGCAAGTTCAGAGAGCACCAAGGACCCCTCATACATTTTTCTTAAAAGTTTAATACCATCCTTCCCAACTCCTGAATTCCCATAATTCCAAAATGTCATGTTTCGTACATAGCTGGAAGATATCAGAACGGAGAACATACTGCACAAATCTGAATTTGCTATTAAGAGCATGTTTGACATTTATAGATAATCTTCACTCCCTGATATCTAATGTAAAATAGGGTTACAAATGCATGCTTATATGACAAGTAATAGGACCACCTAAAATATATTAAAAGAAAATCATGGCTTCCACTATGTTAACTTTAGCCATGAGCTTGTTAGGCATTAATATTTTTGAGAAAAATAATACAATTACATGGAAATATTTACACAGCCGTAATCTTGGGTTCATGGGGAGTGACTTATATGTAAGCTCCACTCCTGGTTACTTTTTTGGGTACGTCTATGTGGTTTTTTTTGGCACCAGTATACAAGTAGATCGCCACTACCTTTTTAAAGAGTATTTTTTACTTTTTAGTCTAGCTTTGTAGTTTCCCAAATACCTAACTGCTCCCAATTTGCATAGTTTTCCAGTGTCAGAATAGGTCCACTTCAGTCATCATCATAACTACCTACCTGTTTCTTTCAGCGTTCTTAATGTCTGTAATTTTATACACCCTGAGAGAGCGACTGAGCTTAGCTGAATACTGTCGCAACCCTCTCTTTAGAGAGGCACTCTTGCAAAAGAACAGCGTCCTATGCTGGGCTCTAACGTCCTGAACCAGGATAAAATCAGCTCTTTTACCAAATTAAGAGGTTCTTCATCGAGATCTGACCTGACATAAATATTTCTGGATAAATCCAATCAAGATCAGGTTTCTGGGGATAAAGGGTAGGATTTGGTACAAGTCCAACCGGGAGGACTTTCGTACACTTCTTATCATTGGTTGATAACCAACCAACTCTTTTCGCTACTTCCGCCTCCTCCTCCTCCGCCTCTCTAGGAGGCAGAGTTTGAGAGCTGATCTTTTGCAGAGCAGTTCTTTTGCAGAGCAGCATGGCGTCGGTTTTGAGGAGCGTGCAGGTAATAAATAGGCAATAACATGTGCGGCGCCGCCACTGGACTTGGGCATGGAGAGGCGGGGGAGAGAGAAATCCATGCTAATACCAAGGAAGATCTCATTCCGTTCGCGGTAGAAATTGCGGGAGATCCACCCCCACTGATAGCGAGTAGGGAAAGGGACCAGAGGGATTAATTTCCCGTAGGGACGTAAGGGAGCAAAAAGGAAGATCTGAATAACGCATTCCATTTTTAGAATTCGGAGTTTTCTATGTAATTATCGTAAGAAATGTAGTATTCAGTGCAGTACAGTCAAAGCAAATGTGGCATAGATCAGTTTCAACTGTAGAATAATTTCAAGCATTTTTCTAACCTAGTACAAGTGTAATATTTAGTCAGCTCAAATATTGTCCCAAAGGTGCTTTCCCAAAAGGTAACTGGTTTTTCTTGGTATTTTCCTAGAGAACATTTTGCTTCTTGGGTGAGAAACTAAGCCAAGAAAAGTCCAGCTGCCTTTTGCAAAAGCATCTTTGGGACAATTATGACCTGGATGTTTGAGAAGCTCCATAAACAGATCAAATACTGCCACTGGCAGGAAGTGTCCTTCAAGCTGAACATGTACTGGTAAACATATGGAAGAAACCATCTCTTATACCTTTCTGAAGGTTATGTGAATTTCTCTGCCCTTTAACTCTTAGGTAGCAGGCTAAACAAATGCAAATAAAAGCAGCCTTCCCCCCCCCCCCAACATGGGTTATGGGGTTAGTTTCTGTCTCTCATACAGACAGATGTCAGGAAGTTTTGCTGGGAAAATAGTCATTTTACAAATTGATCACTTTTTTTTGTACTAAACATCTTATTCCCTTTGTCCAGAATGAAGCTGTTTTCCTAAATGGTCACATGAGGCAATTCTGTTGCCATTGCTGCCTGGAGAAAAAGATCCAGGGCAGAGGAGGACCTTGAGATTCATTACTCTTGCTATCTCTGAAGCAAAGAAACTATGTAGAAGAAAGAGGAAATTTTTCTTTGGGAAATACTGGACTGCCTTTTATACTGAGGGAAGTCTGGAGGCACATACCTAGCTATGAAAAGCATAGGACTTGTATTACTAGTCGTACTGCCTGTTAAGTCTGTAGTTATTGATTTGTATCCCATCTTTTATTTTTACAAATAATTCACAACAGCAAAATATCCCACACACTTTCCTCCTTCTATTTTCTCCGTAACAACACCCCTGTGAAGTAGTAATCTTATTATTTTCTTTACCTACCAGGGCATGGTTGGCTTTGTGACCGGTGGGGCTTCTGGACTGGGCCGTGCTACAGTGGAACGATTAATACGACAGGGAGGCAGTGCTGTGATTGTGGACCTGCCAACATCTGATGGCGAAAGCATGGCTAAGTCCCTGGGAAACAGATGCATCTTTACTCCAGCTGATGTAAAGATTGTTTGATGGGGAGCTGGGGCTTTCTCTCTCCCCAGGTGTGAGTAGGGATGTGGAAAAAGAATGTAACAGCAGACCTGGATCATACTGTCAAAACTGTCTTTATTCAGGTGACATCAGAGTTAGATGTGAAGGCTGCACTGGCCACAGCAAAGGAGAAATTTGGACATATAGATATGGGAGTGAACTGTGCTGGGATTGCAGTGGCATTCAAGACATACAATGTGCACAAAGATCATTCTCATAGTTTGGAGGACTTCCAGAGAGTCATCAATGTGAGTATATGGTGAGACTGACCTCTTAGCTCATTATAGTTTTGTTATTTGATCTTATTCCAAGTACTTCCAATGTATTATTTTTTAAATTAATATGGCTGCCCTAACAATAAAAAACACAGAATAATAAGCAGCTGAGGTAAAAACAGAATCAACAAAACCATTGTATGGCCTCTGCCACACATTGGGATTCTCAAGTTCAGTGACAAAACCATGCATAGCTATAGGCAAGTAGGGTTGGGACCAAGTATGATCTCTGTGGAGATGATCTTCCAAAGGATGGGTACCATAATAGAATAAACTCTCTTCCTGGGCCCTGCCAGATAGCGCTCCTTAATAGATTGACCCAGAACCTGTATTTTCTGACAGATCTAATGGGGAGAAGCAATCTTGGCAGGAAAGGTTTAGATAACTTACCAATTAAATTGCATTAACATTGTTGCAGTGCTCCTCTTCAGGACTTTAACCAACTAATATGCTTTTTCCAGAACAGTTTATGCCCTTTCAACACCCAGTTCTTAGCTCCTCTCTACTTATCATCTGAGCAAATTTACTGGGGTTTTCAATGGTTTTCTAAGCTCCAGTACGTTTTTTAATCCAGGTTTTGTCTTGAGAACATTGTGCCTTCTACCAAACCTGCAAATTCCTCCTCAGATGTGGATGCTTTCATAATCGCTATCTAAATATGGGAAGAATTGAATTTGCTGTTAGAGGGCCATTCAGAACGAAGGAATATTATTGTTTGGCCATGAGTTTATTCTACAGTATTGTGCTGATGGAATGATCTTGCTTGGCAGTGCTGGTTTTGGTGTGGGAAACGTAGTCAAGATTTTGAGTTCTTGCATTTCATTTGTGCTTTTCAGGTCAATATTGCTGGGACATTCAATGTGATTCGTCTGATTGCAAGTGTGATGAGTAAAAATGAGCCAAACTCAGATGGACAGAGAGGAGTGATCATCAACACTGCCAGTGTGGCTGCCTACGAGGGCCAGGTAAATCCCAAGCTGAACTTTCTTTAGTCAGTTTAGCTTCATTGGCAAAGGCCAGAAATCCATAATTTAAATAGAACGAATATAGATGAATGTGTTAGTGGTCTTACAATACAGGAGCATTAAAGTATGGTTGCTTTAGGAACCAGATTTTGGGGAGGGGACAAAATAGTGATCACATCAATAGAGCAAGAGAGTTCACATTTTTGTAATGGGAGTTAACCATTAAACCAATTAAGTGCTCTTCTAGACCTCAAGCACAATAGAACAGTTGGGCTGGGGGAGAAGGAATGACATGACTTATGGTGTGGAGTGTCACCATGTCATGCCTCATGTGTGATTTTAAAATGGTCATTAAACCTTCATTTGAAGTTAGTTGGCCCCAGCACGTGGCCCTTTATTTCCAGTTCTCTTTCTTTCTTGCCATTTCCTTTCCCTTGGCTCTCCTTAACTTCCACAACTTTATTGCAGGGCTGTTTGGCATTCCAATCAGAACTTTTCCTTGTTTGTTTCAAAACATATTTCCTCTGCTTATGACTATTTGTTTAGTGACTGCTCAGCGTTATGGTGGGGCTGAACAAAGAGTCTTACAACAGATTTCCCAAATTACAGCTGTTTATAGTGCCCCTGCAGTCATGTTATCAAAATTCAGGAATTTGGCAGGTTGCCTGCACTTTCGACTACAGGGGCAATTCCTCCCATCTATCTACCTCCCATCTGCCCTTTCAGCCTCCCATACACCACAGCCCTTAATGCCGTAACTGATTTTTGCCGTCTTCTTTCTCCCACTACTGACAAAGCATGCTCCTCCTGGCTCTTCCGGGGCAACTGCTGGCCACATTCTTCCCCAGGTTATGCATGGCAGTTTCCTGATGAGACCTGGGGAAGAGTCTCAGAAGGCCAGCAGCTGCCCCAGAAAAGGGCCAGGTCAGGCACGCCTCACCAGCAGTCGGCGTAAGAAGAGATGGCAAGAATTAGCTGGGGTGGTAGAATGCAGGATGGTAAGGGCGACTGAAGCTGGGACTCAGCTACGGCAGCTGTAGCTTCCTAGGACAGCAAGAAGCCCCTTTATACATCATGCTGCTGGCCTGGCCTGGGCATTGTGCTGCAGCTTGGGTTTCTTTCTTCTTTTTGGCATGTTCCACGGCATGCCAAAAAGTCGCTTTGTGCTGCACTGCTGAGCCAGGCTGGGGCTGGGCTTTGCATTGTGCTATATCGGGGGTAGGCAACCTCGGCTCTTTTATGACTTGTGCTGGCTCAGGAATTCTGGGAGTTGAAGTCCACAAATCATAAAAGAGCCAAGGTTGCCTACCCCTGTGCCATATCTTAGGGGCTTCTTGCATCCCCAGAGTTGTGTGTACTAAGAAGTCTTGAGAGTTGCAGTGTATTCTTTTCCCAGCTTCCCTGTTTCCACATCCATGCATGCTGCATCCTCTTTTCCCCGGCCTCTGAGTTTGTACTGCACTGCAGAATCCCCCCCCCACTCTTGCATGGCTGGTGCTAGGCATCCCAGAGCCTCTCCCACTCTCCTGTGGCACCCCCCATGCTCCTTACCTGGAACCCCTTCCACTTCCCACTTAATGACCAATACACCTGGAGTTCTAACAACAACCACGACTGCAAGAATTGCTGTACTTAAGCAAGATATGGTCATGTGATCCAGTACTTTATGACCACATCACTTAGCAACCCAAATGTGGCCATACGTTGAGGACTATCTGTATGCTCTTAGCAAGTGAATATGTTTTATTATATCATTTTTAGGAACTAAGCTCTTCTTCTTTTTTCATTATGCAGGTGGGACAGGCTGCCTATTCAGCTTCCAAAGGAGGCATTGTATCAATGACACTACCCATCGCCCGAGATCTTGCCCCTCTTGGGATTCGTGTTGTTACCATTGCACCAGGTAACTAAAACCACCCTGAATTTAAGCCCTAGGAGAGAAAAATATTTCTTTTAAAAGGTGTTTAGTCCTGGAATGGCAGGACTATTTGCATATGATCTCAACCTTCTTCAAACACTTAAACCTTATGTAATGTAATGGATTATGTACATACATCAGTTATGTAATAGATCAGTGGTGGTGAACCTATAGCAGGCGTGCCAGAGACGGTACTCAGAGCCCTCTCTGTGGGCACACACACTGTCGCTTCAGCCCCGCCTCCCCTGCGGCCCCCTCCTCACCAGCAGCCCCCCGGAGGAGAGTTGCCCCCGGGCGCGGTCCACGTGGAGCAGCGCAGCCAAGGACATGGCAGCCGGGTAGCAGGGACAATACTCTGCCCTTGCACCCCATCATGCGCAGATGATGCTGGGCATGATGGGGTGGGTGTGGCCACTATGGTGCTGCAGGGCCGCCTGGGCAATCTGCGGTGGGCCATGGAGACGGTGGGTGGCCCTGTGGGTCGACAGGGCAGAGTGGGGGGGGTGGAGTAGGGGGGCGGGGCGTTTTTTGGGCACTCGGTCTCTAAAAGGTTCTCCATCACTGTAATACATTATACAAACTTATGTTTTCATAATCAATTTTGAATGTTTCACTAATTTACATTATTTTGTTGGCTTAGTAGTTCCAAGGACTCCTCAGTAATCTCTTATCTCAGACTTCTGCAGTGCATGACCTAAGATTACTCCATACTTAATTCCTGGAGCACACAGCGTATTATGGCCTACTGCTTAATAGGGGTGACAATGTGTAACACCAGGAGGAGTAGCCCTGAGCAGCTTTTATTTCTTCTAGGGCTCTTTGAGACACCTCTACTGGGGACACTTCCTGAAAAAGTTCGGACATTCCTGGCACGACAGGTGCCCTTCCCAAGTCGCCTTGGGGCTCCAGAAGAATATGCTCATTTGGTACAATGCATAGCGGAGAATCCTATGCTAAATGGTGAAGTAATACGGCTTGATGGGGCTATCCGAATGCAGCCCTGAGCCATAGCCCAAGCCTGCAAGAAAAAAAGGTTGTTCTCCTTGGATCATAATCACAGTACTGAAATCAAGGTTGGCAAAAGAAATGATTAACATCTGACACTGAATAAATCAATAATCAGATATTGTTCTTTTCTTTCACTTGCTGTATAGGCTCACCCTGACACCCCTTCCCCCATTGCTAGTAGCCATACTGAAAGCTATATTTTTATGCATCTCCAATTTCTTTTAACAGACTTCCCTCTAATTCTGAAATACAGAGACAATTGTTTCTGGCTAAAGTCACCCTGATTTATTTAACCATGGTTTATCAAACCATAAATGTCCAGGTATCGACAAAAGGCTATGTTGTAAACCATGGTTTGCAAAGTTGTTGATTTTAAAAATGACTATATCATTTTTGCATGTTAAGTCTGTTGGGGTCATGATCTCTGTCCCTTCTCTCACTACATTTCTGTATTTTGGCAACCCAGACCCACCATTGGGGTGTGTGATTTTTGGGGGGGGAGGGGGCATACTTCCTAATATATTTTAAAGCAGGGAATGAGATGAGAGATAATGTAAATTGTTATTTCGCACTGTAAAAATCAGAGATTAAAAGCAGTGTTTAATAAATGCAACTTTTAGGACTGTACATGTTGAGGTGATTTAGAAAACGCACTTTGGACTTGGTGCAAGCTCAGTGCTTTTTGCTTTTTCAGGCTTGTGCTGAAGCCTGAAAACAGGCAGGTTGCTTTAATGAAGAGAAAATAAGGGTCAGGTTATATATGCTAGTTTTGAATCCTTTTCAAAGAGTGCAGAGTTTGGCCCCCATTTTTCAGTGTTTCTGAAGTTCCCCTTCCCAGTGCCATTTAAAAAAATATGGTAACAAATATTATACACCTCTGGTTTATTGAACTATATGAATACATAGCTTTTTGGTCTAGTGACTTTCCTCATCTGTAATTCTGCTCATGTAATTTTCATTTCCCTCATAAAGAAGAGTGAGTATAAAATGTCTCAAGATAACCAAATGCAAAAGAAACCTGAAAAGTGGGGGGGGGGGAGAAAGAGAAGAAAGAATAGCAGTTGGAAAGGAAGTTCCAAAACATGAGTGTGGCAGGAAGATTCCAGTCTTGGTTCAGTAAAGTCTCTTTTGCAATAAAATTCAGATCTGATCTGGGAGTTTCCCATTAGGTTCTATTGCTTTTCTCTTTGAAAAAAGTGAATGGTGGCTTCTCTGGAGCACAGTGACTTGCTTGGTTCTAGGGATTATCTTATTTTCATATACTGATAGTGCCTTGTTCAATGACTGTTTGCAATTATGATAGTGCTGAAAAAAATAACTACAAATAATGCCTGCATTTATAATTTTTGTAGCATTCCCCCAATCATCTGATTGCCGTTGCAGTGAGTAAACATTGTCCGATGCCTGTTCTTTTTCTCCCCCATTGCAGAGTAGAGAGATTGGAGAGGAAGGGACTACAAGAGAGTAAGCAGGCATACAATAGAGAATACACCAGGTGCTTTGCATAGTGTACTTGTGACTGCTAGCATCACCACATTCGTTTCAATTTGTAGTCTTTATTGTGTGCCTGCTTATTCTCTTGTAATCTCTTCTCCAGATTAATTCCTTCCTTGCTAATTATCCCAACACCGGGAGAAATGGCCAGAGGGGAAAAAGGAAGGCATAATTTCCCATATGCGATTTTCCACTTAGGGACTGCTTTGCTTAAGGACAGAGCTGCCAGTCCCAAATGTGAACGCTAAACAAGGACTACCTGTACTATAAGCACAAACCTGGATGACAAAACATGCATCACAATACAAATACTACAACTTGTATCCTGCAAGCTGATATGTAAGTGTACAACTGCAGCATTGACAGGATAATATTGTCACCGCACATCTGTTATTTTAGTTTGTTGCAAATGCAGATAAATGTAAACTTAAGTACTTAACTTGGGAGTCCCCCACGTGAGATCAAGAAGTGAACCCTGTGGAATTATAGTTAGCTTTGATCGTACAATGGCTCTTGTTTGTCAAGGAGATGACTTTCAAACTATTATGAATGAAATCATTAGACAATAAATACTCAACATTTTGATTCTCTGAATATGGTATATATCCATACAGGTTTTGTGTAATGTTTTATGTACCAAACATCTGATCCTGAAAGTACTCCTCCCTCAATTTCAAAGCTCTACATCAGACAAGTCAAACTCGTGATGTCACACGATGTATCGGGACTATTTTGCCGTTGCTGGCAAAGGGGTGGGGCATGGCTTCCGCATGATGCGTCCGGCTCGTAGGCCGGCAGTTTGACATCCCTGCTCTACATGATCATATTTAAACAGGTTCAGGGTGCATTTCAGGCCCAGGCTGGTATCGCTCTTCTACAGCCAGTTGAGATGTCCTTTTTCCATAAGAAAATGAACTTTATTTTGCATACCAAAACTGTTGCCAGCTGCATCTTCCATCAGCGGCTGCTAGTGTTAAACTGCGAATAATAGTGGGCTGTAGGTGCATTGGTGTAGACTTCTTTCTCCAGATACCGCAAGCTGTCAAAGAAAAGAATGTAGTCAGATTGTATGGAAAAGATTATGACTTCATTTGTCCCAGGGCTGAAATCCTTCACTGACAGAATTTAACCTAGGAATACATAGAAACCAGACATGTGTATAATGCATTTCTATGATTAACTGCATATAGCATCTTGATGTCTCTGGTTTTTGGCTGACTAGGTGGATTTTTTAGATAGTTATGAGCAGTATATTTATTTCAAAATGCAGTCCTGAAAAAAAGGTTCAGAAAAATATGAAAATTAATATTTCACTTCCAGTCTGCCTGTTTTTCCAGCATGTAGCTTTCCATTTGCAGCTTAATTATTAATGAAATCTGTACACCTCCCAACGAGTCTAATTGGTTCACAAATAATCATCATTAATAATAAAACAATAGGGGAATAAACAAGAAGGAATAAAAGAGAACAAACCAGGCAGGAAGAAAAACAAGCCCACACAAGCTAATGGGGCTTTTAATCACTCTTGCCAAAGGCCTAGCTCAGTGATGGCGAACCTTTTAGAGACCGAGTGCCCAAAAACTGGCCTGCCCCCCACTCCACCCGCCCGCAGGGCCACTCGCCACAAATCGTCCAGGCAGCCTTGCAGCGCCATGGCGGCCACACCCTCCGCCCGCACCCCACAGCATCATCTGCACGTGATGGGGTGCGAGGGCGGAGTCTTGCCCCTGCTGCCTGGCTGCCATGTGCTTGGTTGCACTGCTCTGCGTGGGCCGCGCCTGAGGGAGCCTCTTCTCCGGGCAGGCTGCTGGTGAGGAGGGGGTTGTGGGGGGAGGCGGGGCTGGGGCAACAGCGTGTGTGCCCACAGAGAGGGCTCCGAGTGACACCTCTGGCATGCGTGCCATAGGTGTGCCACCACTGGCCTAGCTGAAGTACCAGGGCTTTCAGGCTTTTGGAAACACCAGCAAGGGGACGGGGTGTGGGTGTGGGTGGGTGAACTGGATCTTGGGGAAGCTCATTCCAGAGAGCAGGCTCTGCAACAGAACAGGCCTACTCGGAAGGCCTTTCAGAGGACACTTTTTAATTGGAAGTACCTACAAGCCTGCCAAATAGTAGATGGTTCAAGGACGATGCTTGCAGAGCTCCGTTCTTTCGCATCTTACCAGTTTCTCCCTCTGTTGCCTCTTAGTCCCCTCAAATCCAAGAAAATGCCTTTCACACTTCTGTGCAATGTTGTACCCCTGGATTGCTTACTTGGATTTCTGTGCATCCGCCAATTCCTGGTTGTAATTGTCCAGGCTCTTCTCCAGCTGCGCACGGAAGTTTTGCTCCTGCTCCTCCATCTGCATGGCCGCACGAGCTGCCAGCTCCCTCTGTCTGTCCCACTCAGCCTCCCGTTGGCTTTCCTGTTGCCGAAGTCTCTGCAGGGGGAACAAAGAGGCGCATGAAATGTGAGAACAGACACACGGGGCAGATGGGGCAATCCCTGGTTCCAAATTTTAGCACACCACAAACTGAAACAGGGGAAGTAGGCAAGATATTGTACCGCACTCTCAACTTCTCTCCCATTCTGATGGTGCTCACACAAAGCTACTGGGCTTTTGGTAAGGATTCACTGAGAGATAGTATATGTGTGAAGCCCTTTCCAAGTACTTGAAACTGCAAAATGTGTAAAAAGGAATTAGCTGGCTTCCAAGTTTTGTCACCCGCCCTCTAGTGCAATTAATAAGCATGGGCAAAGGAGATATATTGACTAATGCTAGGCTCAGGGAAAGGAAAATATAATAAACTCTAAATGAGGACTCTTCCAAGACCATATTCTTTCCCAGAAACAATTGTTAGGAAAACCTTCACAGCTTTAATACAGTATGCGTGGACTTCAGCTCTCAGAATTGCCCAGCCAGTCTACACATCTTAAGGTTGCCAAGGTTGAGATAGACTCGAGAGAACACAATTTTGCCCTAAAAGGAGACAATTGCAACTCCAGATCACTTAAACTTCTCAGTCCAAGTTAAAAGCCTCTGTACAAGCAACTCTTATGTCTGGCAGAATTATGCTCCCCTCCCAGGGAAGAATGGAAACAGAGGAATCTTCACGCCTGTTAAGATCTCACAACAATACGCAGTTTCTGAGTTTGTTCATGGGGTAATCACAGAACAAGATTCTCCTTTTCTGCCTTGCATTGATTATGAGTTGTTAGCCGGGTACAGACCAATCCAGGCTAACACAAATAAATATATTATGTTACTATGCAAAGCCTCACCTATTACAGGCAGTCCTCAACTTACAACAGATGATTTAGGGACCGTTCAAAGTTATAATAGCACTGAAAAAAGCGACAAATTGCCACTTATTACAACTATTACGCCATCTCCATGGTCACGTGATCAAAATTCAGACATTTGACAACTGACTCATAGTTATGACAGTTGCGGTGTCCTGGGGGGGGGTGTCACGTGATCGTTTTCTTTTTGTGGCCTTCTGGCAAGCAAAGTCAATGGGGAAGCCAGATTCACTTAAAAACTGTGTTACTAACTTAACAACTGCAGTGATTCATTTGACAACTGTGGCAAGAGAGGTCATAAGATGGGGCAAAAGTCACTTAACTGCCTCTCTTAGCAATGGAAATTTTAAGCTCAGTTGTGGTCATAAGCCGAGGACGGCCTGTCCCTGTTTCCTGTGTTTGTGGTCATTCCTCCACAGGAGCCGGTTCCCCTCAGCCCTCCTCCTCCTCTCATCCCTCACCTGGTTTTCTCGGCACTGTTCTTTCTGCATTTGCCACACCGCCTGCAGCTGCTCAGGGCTCATCCCCTTCCAGCGGTCAGTAATCACACGGTTTGACCCCAGCAAGCTTTTAGCAACGCTAGGGTCCTCCAACAGGAGATTGCCAGTCAGATGGTTGTGGATCTCAGCATAGTTATCATCCTGATCACGCTGCTGGGACAGACGTTGCTGCTCTGCAACCTCTGCCGCCTGGTTCAGGGGCAAAAGAGAAGAGGTGAGCTAACAAAGGGTCAGCATTCCCCTCGCCCACGCCCTCCGTCAGTCGTTGGGGATACAGCACAGGGACACGTCTTCCCAATCTTCCCACAGTCACCTTTCTTGAGGCGGTATTCTGGGACACGGTATAGAGAAATGGCTGGGAGAATCCAAAACTACCTGCGCTCGATTAAAGTCTGCGACTGCCACGGCTTTAGCCCTCCGACATTCTTCCTCTAATTGTGCCAGCTCCTGGGCTCGCAAATCCAGCTCTATCCTTTTTTTGTCGTCCAGATTATCTGCAAGGTTGGGAGGGTAAAACAGGTGCAATACAAGGCAATCTATACAAAACATACCCCACTTAATTACAGGTTATCGAATTACAGTTGTGGATATTCTTCCTTTCCTTATACCCAAATGGTTTGTGGCAGAGCCAGCGCAGGGAGCAGGTGGGTGTTATTTTTCATAGTAGCAACTGCAGAGCAACTTTTCTTTTGTTGACTTCCTGTGGAGGTACAGTTCATCCCAAGAACAACTCTGCTTCTGGTTCCCCAATCCAAACGTACCTGCGTATTTTTGATCAGCAAGTTTCTTATTCTGCTCATTTCTCTGCTTCTCCAGCGCATGCTTGTTCTGCTCCTTCTGCAGTTTTTGGCGGGCGGTTGCATTCAGATCCTCACCAGAAAAGGACTGCATGCTAGAAGGGCCACAGCATGGGTCGTCATCACTCACACGGGCCGGCTGCCCTTTGCGTACCGCCTCAGGGTCATGGATATCCCACTCCCGCCGCATAGAAGGCTGCTGCTCCCGCTCATGGAACTCCACCAGATCCTGGCATAAATGTTTCTTCTGCTGGTGCTCTTCTTCCGCCAACATCTGGGCAATCTTGTCACACTGCACCCTGTCTGCATCTATACAAAAAAGAATAGTGCTACGCAGTGCACAATTTGTGCCATGTGCCCCTATGAAATAAAATAGGATGGGGTGCATATTCTGCACCAAATTAATGAAAATTTAACACCCAGAAAGCGCAAACTGTATGGAAATGAAAAACCACAACCCCTCCCCAAGCATCCCAAAGAAATGGGCTTATACTGCAACTGTAGCAATATCCTGTATCAGTTGTTCTCAACCTTTCTAATGCCGCGACCCCATAATACAGTTCCCCATGTTGTGGTGACCCCCAACCACTTATACATCACCGGGTGCCAGGGGCGTGGCCAAAGAAAAGGGGGAAAAAATGGCGGACAGCCTTGTTTGGCGACCCCCATGAAATGGTCGTTCGACCCCAAATGGGGTCCCGACCCACAGGTTAAGAACCACTGTCCTATATAGTTTGAACTGACAAGTTTTCATATATGGTTATTTATCAATAGGTTAATATATTGGATAAACTAACTATCCAATTGGCCCAAAATTTCTGCGGCTAAGTGAGACATTTGTTAAGTGAGTTTTGCCCCATTGTCTGCGACATTACTTGCCCCGGTTGTTAAGTGAATCGCTGCACTTTTTAAATTAGTAACACAGTTAAGTGAATCTGGCTTCCCCATTGACTTTGCTTTGTCAGTAGGTTGCAAAGGGTGATCACGTATAAATAGGAACCAGTTGCCAAGCATCTGGATTTTGATCACATGACCATGGGGTTGCTGTAACAGGTGTAAGTGTTACAGCACCTCTAAGTCAGTTCTTTCAGTGATGTTGCAACTTCAAATGGTCACTAAATGAACTATTACAAGTCGAGGACTACCTGTACTTTGTCATCCGCACTGACCTCCAGTTGATTTTCAGCCATAATTGAAATTGAGGGGAATCAGAAAACACGTTACAATGCATTAAATCAGACTATCATCCTAAAGCTGCATTGTGTGATAGTATGACTGAATTCTGATTGCATTTTTTTTCTGGCTTGACTTTTTGCTGTATGTGGGTGTTAATGCTGAGAAAGATTTTTATCCCTCTCCCACACCAAACCTCACCGCCTCTCCCCAGATGGCAGAACAGTTCACCACATCTATTCAATGATGACACTATCTACAAGATTTCCTGAGAGCCTCTAAAAAACAGGGATGTTAAGTACAACCACCCAGGAATTGCTCATCCCTCTATTTACAAATCACAGTGGTTAATTAATTGGGCCCTCACATTAAGTCATAACGTGATTTGTTTTGATTTCGTATGTTGATTTAGCATGGTTAAGTATAGTTGTGTTAATTGAAGCTGATGGATTATATGTGAAATTCAGACAACCTTATTTGGCCTTGCTGATCTTTACAGCCTTGAATGGTTGAGGCCCAAGTATCTAAAGCAGTGTTTCCCAAACTTGACAATTTTAAGGCATGTGGACTTCAACTCCCAGAATTCCACAGCCAGCGTTGCTGGCTGTGGAATTCTGGGAGTTGAAGTCCTCATGCCTTAAAATTGTCAAGTTTGGGAAACACTGATCTAAAGGATATTTTTCCTTTTGTCTACTTGTCAGGGCACTTGTTTTTCTGATAAATGAAGGTAGGGAGGTTGTGCAAAAAAAGGCACTTCATCTTATGGCACCTCACCTCAGGAACTGTCACTTTAAGCAGGCTCCTCCACCCTTTCATTGCCTAATGTCTACCTTCTCTGTGTTAATTCTTGTATTTTATTGTCTTTTAATTTATAATTCATGAAGAATTATATTTGCTATAGGGCAGGCTACAATAACACTGCTCTGTTGAGCGAATAAGGAACAGAAGCTAAAGGAGAAAGCTATTAATGCTGCATAGGAACTTTACTCAGGATATTGTTGAATAAAAATTAGAGATGGCACTTGTCCATAGGACATAGATATTATAGATAATGTAAAGCTATATTAAATGTAGTGTACAGCTACTATTTTAAAAGAGCCCTAATTTTCTTGATCATCTTGATCTACCTCACAAAGGTTTCTGAACTATTCTTCTAATGTTGAGCATTTCGATGATACGATGCTCACCTATTTCCAACTACAGTCTCTGCAGTCATAATGGTTAAGAAGCCAAGGTTATTTTATTGTTTCCAAAATAAGAATGGAGAGTTACAACATTTCTGCACTTCTGCAGAATGTTAGTCTAGGTACAAGCCTTGCTTTGTGAAGCTAGATCTACAGGTCTGAAACTCACTTCAACCTATTCAATTTTCTCCCCATAGAATATAGTTATCAGTTAACTCAGGCTGTCTCCCACACCGGAGACTCTCACACTGTCTCCTAGAGAAAAACAATGCTGAAACCTGAAGGTAATATAAATGTGCAACTAACTCAAGTGAATTTTATCTATTTATTACTTCTAGGACGCATGGCTCGATAACACAGTGCAGCTAAGTTGTTTTAAAAATGGATAGAACAAATAAAATATCACAAGGGGCTCAGCGGGGAAGCTGCTGCTCTGTCACCATCTTAGCTCTGCTTCCTCAATAATAAACATACTTTATGGAACTATTGTAAACTTGAAGTTCGAAAGACTTGAAGCTTAAGTACCTGTTGAAAAATCTCCGCCAGGATTACCCAGTCTGTATTTTAAGATATTTGGAGAAAGCCCTGCACTTGCTGCTGTGGAAGGGCATCACAGCTTGGCTACAACCCAAAGAATCATGGCATTATTATTAAATGCTTAAGATGTACCTCATTACAAAGGCCTTTGGTTGTGACTTTGATTGTACACAACTCACCACTATTCAGGACTTTATTCCTTCTTTATTCTATCAATATACAATAAAAGTAAAACCCCAGACCTCTGTAGAAGTTATTTCAAAGTTTCACTGCCAATAAATCCATCTGCCTGAGAACTGTATCCTTGCATATCTTTGATATGATGTAAAGCTTCTTTCTTTCTTGCAACTATTTCAGAACTAGTTCATTATTATACCATCCATATGCTTTTATTGCATATTTCACATGGTAAGACACAACAAAGGATTGCAAGGCACAACTCCATTTTTCTTGTTGTGCTTGCTACTTTCCCTGAGTGCAGATGCTGAGCTTAGAAAAGACTGATTAAAACTCCGAAGACAATGAGGTGAGTTTATCTATTTATTTGACTTATATTCTACTCTGGTTCTAAGTGACTCCTTGCATTTTACAGCCTATAACCAATTAGATTGAAACAATATATAATCAGATCAGCATAAATTTCCCAGCATCAAAGAATTAGCCAATAATAAGACATTCATCTATCATGAGGGAACAAAAATATATGTAACTTCTCAAGACTTAACTGCCCACTGAAAAAGACAGGTCTTAACAGCTCTGGAAAAAAGTGAAAGCATAAATTTCCCACATAGAGGAATTAGCCAATAATAAGACATTCATCTATCATGAGGGAACAAAAATATATGTAACTTCTCAAGCCTTAACTGCCCACTGAAAAAGACAGGTCTTAACAGCTCTGGAAAAAACTGAAAGCATAAATTTCCCACATAAAGGAATTAGCCAATAATAAGACATTCATCTATCATGAGGGAACAAAAATATATGTAACTTCTCAAACCTTAACTGCCACTGAAAAAGACAGGTCTTAACAGCTCTGGAGAAAATTGAAAGCGTACATTTCCCACATAGAGGAATTAGCCAATAATAAGACATTCATCTATCATGAGGGAACAAAAATTTATATAACTTCTCAGGCCTTAACTGCCCATTGAAAAAGATAGGTCTTATCAGTTCTGAAGAAAGCTGAAAGAGTTGGAGCCTGCCTAATACCAGGAACCACCCAGACGTCCCAGCCCTGAGATCCCTGTAGTTGACACTACGGGTCTGGATCCAGAGAGAGAACTTGCTCTCAAATCTTAATGGATGGACAGAGAAGAAGGGTGGGGAAAGAGTTCTCCTGTTTTTTCTCTAGCAGTCCATGTCAGGAGACTTTTCCCCAGCTTCATTTGCCAAAATGGTAGAGGACTGGTCCTATTGTACCTGGTTTCCCCAGCTATAAGTAGCATCTTTTCTTTAAAAAAAAACTTATACAGTACTACAATCCTATAAATGGCTATTCAAAAGTAATTCTCACGAGTTCAATGGAACACTCATAGACTCATGTACAGTCGGTCAGAATTTTAAGATACTTCTCACTGTTTTAACGAGTTAACAAATTTTACTTCCTCAAGACACACGTTTTTCCATAAAATTAATCAAGAATTCGGGACAGGTTCGAATGAGTGGACTAGACAGGCTTACCAAAGGCTTCCTCTTGTCGCTTCTCTATATTCTCTCTCAGTTTGCGCTCTTCCACTTGCCTCTTCAAGCCTTCTATGTCCACCTTGAGGGCAAGGGACATTAATGACCATGCAGCTTAATAGCAAATTATGGTAAGGCAACTTCCTCAGCACATAGGATGCTCCCCTCCCACTTCATCCAACTACTGTAAAAGCAAAGGTACCTTAAAGACTCTACATTATGGCAAAGTAAGATTTTATGTTCCTGAACTTCATTTAGTTCAAAATGAAGCTGCAAGACCCTTGACAGAAACTGTTTTGAGTTCAAAAAATCTCCTAGGAGAGGGCAACAGCAAACCACTTGCATGGGATGGTTAAAAAACAACAGCTAGATGGGCACAGCCATAAAGTCACTATAAGTTAAGCCTAATGAGGAAAGAAATTTTGCATGTATTACCTTAAATACCAAAATGGCAAAGAAGCAAACCTGAAGACTTGCCTTATCTGTAGCCATCATATCTACAAAAATCTGAACAACCACTACATGGCAGCAATGAACAATCCGGTTAGAAAAAGTCGGCTTTTTCCCCAAGAACTCGGGCCAGGATGTTGACAGAGCTTACATAGGGTGCTTGTTAAGTGGTGATTTTAACTTTGTTTTAAATTGTTTCATTGTATTGTGTTTTTGTTTATTATGGAAAGGTTTGTTAAAAAGATGAATCTGGATTTTGGCAGTAAAAAAATAGTAGTTGTAACCTCCTCCCATGATTTGTATTACTCTTTCAGATCATCTAAAACAGTGGTTCTCAACCTTTTTAATGCCGCGACCCCCAACTGGTCGTAAATTGAGGACTACTCAACCGGTCGTAAGTCGAGGACTACTCAACTGGTGCAGCACCGTTTGCAGAATGGGACTTTTGGCGGGCTCAGCAGGGCAGAGACAGCCTGGACAATTCCTATTGGCTTTTGAAAGCCAATAGAATTAGACTCTATTCAAGAGAGTCATTCTATTGGCTTTCAAAAGCCAATAGAATAAAAGGGAGTAGCATAGCTAAGGAAAAGGGGGGAAAAAATGGCGGACTGCGTTGTTTGGCGACCCCCGTGAAATGGTTGTTCGACCCCAAATGGGGTCCCGACCCACAGGTTGAGAACTACTGATCTAAAAGGCCCTGCTACATCTCTTATCATCAGAATTTTGTTTAGCAAGAACACATTGAACCTGACTTTTAACTATGTTTTTTTTGCTGCCGGTGGCGAATTAAGTTTTAATCTCTTGTTTTAATGTATTTTCAAAATACCAAGTTTCTTTACTTTTCTGATGAAACTTCTTTATGTGCCAATTTTGTAATGCAAATTAAATGTAGAAAATGCTTGATTTTGACTTAAGAATTCCAGGAATCAAACCAGTTGTGGTTTAACATTTGTAAGATGTTTAGTTTTATAGTTTTAACAGTGTTGTATACTGTTTTAACTTTGGATTGAGATCAACCAGAATTGGTTATAAGATGGGCAGCTATATAAATGTTTTACATAAGTAAACCTCAATTAAATAATGGTTTAATGCTGTGTATCAACCTAGTCTCTTTTTATTACACCTATTTGGGGAGATATATTTCAATCAATTCAATTTTGCATTAAATTTCAGAATGCTGAAGGTAAAACTGGAGCCCTGTTTCCTTCATATATTATTTTAATGAGTTCAAAGCTAACAAATTTCATGCCACAAAGAAACTCACTTGCTCCATTCAAAATCCAATTCATGGCAAGCCCTCACATTTACTCAGTTTTAGGGGTCGCCAGCCAAAAGTAGACTGCCTTTACTGAAATATAAGTTTAAATGGAGTTTCTTAACCCTTCTTTCAGCTTTCCACAATACTGTATTCAAATCAGTACACCGGGGCTGGCATGTATTTTCTAGAATAGAACTGGAAACCCATTTCAAATCATGTATGCTTGGCTTGCAAGGTGCGTATTAATCACTGTTTTCTGGGTTCCTTTCAGTCACAACAAAGCATACATGTAGTTAAATGGTTCCTGTTGCACAACACTAAATGAACATTAACTTCTCCGGAAAGCCACCGTTCATATTCAGAAAGGTTAGCAAGCAGACGAATTTCTATCACTGGTGAAGGGGAGGCACCCATTCTCCCAATACCCACTCCGGGAGTCTTACCCCCATTGTACGGTAGCGAGCATTGAAGATGCGGCTCTGTCTCTGCTTCTCCCGGGTCCGGCGGGCTTCAATGGCAGCCGCCTCTCTCAGGTCGGCCTGAATGTCCACCTTATGCATCGTTGCACCTGGAACAGGCTGCAGAAACGTTTAGAAACTTGTGACCGGCTGTTCGGAGCTAGAGATGGAAACTAACGATCTGGTGATTCCCCTGGATTCTGTGACAAAGATAATCCTAAATCGATCGAGTTGGGGGGGGGGAGATTTCCTTGCTTATGAGATAACCCGCAGAAGTTCAGAGTTAGGAGCCCTAGAAATTCAAGACGGGGGGGGAGTTTGTCGGTGATTTCCTTCGCAGGCAATCCTTTCGGACTGACCGTTTGCAAATTAAAATAACCTGCAATTGGGGACCGGGACTATATAGACTTAAATAATAGTCTCCCCCTTCGCTTCCCGCGCTCCTCTTTCGGCAAGTTTTGTTGACGTCTGGTTTCTGTGGCAACGACTTCGCAATCTCGCCCTTTCGAGCGGATGTAGTCGATCTACCGGAACGTCGATTTATGCAAATTTAGAAGGGCTGTAAAAAAAAAAAAAAAAGCCTATCAGCAAGCGGAAAAGCGAGCGCGCGTTCGGGTGAAGGCCACCGCTAGAGGTGGGTGGGATGGGAACAGTTTCGTATATAAAACGCCTCCAGAGGGGACAAGCCAATCAAACGCCTGTTTATTTAGAAGGAGGCGTGGCTGCCGCCACGGACCAAGGAGCGCTGCCGGGTTTTGGGTTGCGAATGTAGTGGCGAGCTCTCGCGAGATTTTTTGGGCGCCCGCCCTTGTGGAAAGCGGGCTTCAGCGGACGGAGTCGGGGTCTCAGGGGTGCCGGCCGAGGGTCCCTGTTTTCGCGTGTCGGGGCCCACCGCCCCTTACTGCTCCCCTGCTCCCTTCTTGCCTTCGCGACATGGGGTTCCTGAAGCTGATCGAGATCGAGAACTTCAAATCGTACAAGGGGCGGCAAATTATCGGGCCCTTCCGGCGCTTCACGGCCATCATCGGGCCCAATGGATCTGGTAGGCAAACCTCGGCTGGAGCGGGCCAGGGGAAGTCCGTATATATATGTGTGTGGGGGGAGGGCAAATACGGTTTAATTTAGTCCCGCACAAACGACCCTCGGTGGGCTTCGGCGAGAACAAAGCTCGCTGAGGTGCGTGTTGCACGTCTGAAGGAATCGCTGTTCTGGGTTTGCTCTGCGGCTTGCTTGGCCTGAGTTGAAGGCAGTTAGGCTGGCATCCGTGAGAACGATATGGAGAAATTGTCAGCTCCTGGATACATACACACACTGTACGCAGCGGAGAGGTGCCTGGTTACTACACTAAGTTGCATGATTTATCCTTCTGATTGACATCTGCTGCTGAAAGGGAACAATGCCTAATGAACACAATGTCTGGTGTGCAGCCTTTTTTTCATTGACTTCTATATCTGGGCTGCACCCTATCTGAATTCACACAATATATTAAATTGTATGTTTTATGGTTTAAAAAGGTTATAGGATTAAGGACTGGAATTTGGCAACATTATTTATTTCAAGTTCTATAACTCAACTCTGTGACTGCAGCATACAATATAAACCTTAATAATAATATGTAAACTGCTTGGCATGCTACTTTTTATCTTTGCTCTTTATGTTTAATTGATTTTATTGTAGTTTCTTGGTTGTGTGCCACCCAGAATCTGAGAGTTCAGTAGCATACAAGTTCAATAAAGTATTATTATTTGGGCTATAAACTGACTTGTAGTGAACACAGCCTGTTTGTGGGAGAGAGAGTAGGTATGATTAAGTGCTTCTCTCCAGCACACAACTTACCATCATAACGTAGAAAACTAGCATTGCAGGGCAATAGGCTAAAATCTGAGTGTGTGGGTGTTTTTTTTTTTTTTAATAGGAAGCAATACTGAACCATATGAACCACCTATATATACTTTGTAATAGTCAGAAAGTGGTTGGGTTTTCATCTGAATGTAAACTTTATGCTTATGTTCCACTTTCAGAAGACCTAACTCCTTTGTTTTTGTGTGTTTCTCAGTTCTGAGCACATTTTTATATTTGAAAATATTCATGTGGAGATGCTTTAGGTAGCACCTTTGAAGTTCCTGATTATGAATTCTACTTAATGCTGTTTCAGATGTGCTAAAAGTGTTGCCCATATGCTCACTTTTGCATATATATGAAGCTGCCTACCTGTTGGGCTCCATTGGGCAATATATAGCTATGGTAACAAGGCATGCCTGTGAGCAGATGTGTACATTAGAAGAATTTTGGGCTTAAGAAGGAGCAGGGGAACATTAATAAAATATAGTATTGAGGGATTTTTTTTTTTTTAAAAAAGTGCATTGGACCAAGTCCCAGGAGGTAGTATAACATTTAATTGCATAAAGATATCCCTGCTGAGATTCTGCCTGTTCTGCAGCTCCGAAAAATACTTAGCTTTCTCAGGATTAGTGATAGTATAGATCTGAAGAAAAGTTGAATTGGCAACCATTTGTCCATGCAGTCACTAGGAGTTGAGCCTTACCTGATGGCGTCTAACTAACTAGGACAATATAGAAAAAAAGATGAGGTTTGTCATAATGTGGTGTTGACATTGGTGAAAAGTAGTTTCAGTTTTTCTTATGTGTGTGTGTATGTTTATGAAAGATTTGCCCAAATATTACAAATTTAATCTTTACTATAAGATTTCAATAATTTCATAGGAGCAAAGAGGAAAATATCAGCTGTATCTGCATGTGGCTCAAGAAAAAGCCACTTCACCATGATGGGAGATAGTAATTATTGGCTGGATTGAAAACTCATATTAGTAAAACATGAAGAACTCATGGAGAGGTTGATAAAATACCACTCCTACTTTGCAATCAAAGGAGATTTTTTATAGGAGAAAAATTCATAATTTGCACATGCTCAGAAACAATACTCTGAAAAGATGAGCATGGCATAAAGATTGTAATACCTAGGCTTGGCAAGGGCTGAGTTAAATGACAGTCCAATATTTTACTAAGCACATTTATATTGAAATATATGTCTCTTTGCTGTCTTTCCTCCAGGCAAGTCCAACCTCATGGATGCCATCAGCTTTGTGCTTGGTGAAAAGACTAGCAATTTGAGAGTAAAGACTTTGCGAGACTTGATTCATGGAGCTCCTGTTGGGAAACCAGCCGCCAACCGGGCATTTGTCAGCATGGTCTACTCTGAAGATGGTATTGAAGATCGCACCTTTGCAAGAGTCATCGTGGGTAAGAGTTAAATATAGGTTGGGGAAATTATTTGGAGATCTAGAATGGATGGGGGCTCCGTTATCCCATGTTGCAAAAAGTTGGTGGTTGGACCTCAAGGATTGGTAGGGCTGGTCCCTTTTGAAGGAGTGACGGAGGGAGATAACTTACCTCAGAGAAAGATATAAAGGTTCAGGCGAAGTGGGATTAAAAGTCAATTCCATGGATATGGGATCTGAAATGAATCCCACTGTATTGAATAGAGGAATTTTCCTTACATTCCTCTATTCAATACAGCCCCAAACAATATAAAAGATATATTCTAATGTTTATATATATGTATGTATGTACGTACGTACATATATTTTGGTTGAAGGTAAATGAAATTTTTATCTTTTAGGAAGCTCATCAGAGTACAAAATAAACAATAAAGTAGTACAGTTGAGTGAATACAGTGAGGAGTTGGAAAAGCTGGGCATTCTGATCAAAGCTAGGAACTTCCTAGTTTTTCAGGTATGTATATTTTCAAATTTAGAATCCAGCTGAATTGCTTGGTCTCTTAGCATCAACAGAAGAGAATCCAATTCACTGGCTCTTCTCTCCTGCTGATTTAACAATGGCAACAGTGTACAGATAGTCTTTAACTTATGACTACTTATGACCAAAATTTTTGTTGGTAAGTGAGACAGTTGTAAAGTGAATTTTGCCTCCATTTTATGGCTCTTCTTGCCACATTTGTTAAGTGAATCGCAGTTGTTAAATTGATAACACAGTTGTTAAGTGAATCTGGCTTTACTTGGCAGAAGGTTGCCAAAGTTGATCACATGATGAATACTTCAACTGGGACATTGCAACCGTCATAAATATGAGTCAAGTGTCTGAATTTTTATCATGTAATCCTGGGGATGCTGTAACAGTCATAAGTGAAAATGGTCATAAGTCATTTCAGATAGTTACTAAACAAACTTGTAAGTTGAGGACTACCTGCATATGTTTAGGCTTGGGGGTATTCAAAATAGCTGAGTTGTATGCCTCTGTAGAAAGTCCACAGCAATTGTCGACTTCTCCAATACTGAAAGGACGATGGCTAAACAATCTTTTTGAGCTTGGTGATGGTCAACCTTTATTTAAAAGAGTGGCCATGTGAGATTATACTGCTGTTACGTTGAGTGCCAAAAGGGACTCCTGTGCTTTGGAGAAGATAATGCTGCTATCCTGCTAAGCTTGGCTTCTAGGAATAGTGACATGTAGGAGAGACAGATAGAAGTTCAGACTGATTCTCCACATTCCTAATGTTGAAGATATCCATCTCTCAGAGATGTTGCAGAGGCAGGTGACCATAGCTGATTTGGACTGTCTCTGCCATATTATTTTCCATTGGTCATGGAGGTTGGCAGTGATGGGAATCCAGAACATCAGAATCATACCTCTGATCCAGATTGTGCTAGAAGAAAGGAGGACATTATATTAGGTCTGATCTTGCCATTTTGGATTATTGAAGGCTGGAAGCTGCAGCTAGTGTGGAATGCAGTGGTAGAGGCAGTTATGAATGCACCTCGGTAAATCAGTGTTATACTTCTGCTTTACAAGCTGCGTTGGGTCCCAATGTGCTTCTGAATACAATTCAAGGTGCCATCTCTAAAGAGCCAGTTTGGTCTAATCAGTAAGGTACCAGGGTAGAAAATGGGAGACTATGAGTTCTTGTCCTGCCTTAATCATGAAAGCCGGCTAGGTGACCTTGGGCCAGTCACACACTCTCAACCTAACTCATTTCGCAGGGTGATTGTTATGGTGAAAATAGGAGGCGGAAAGTGTATTGGATATATTCATCACCTTGAGTTATTTGTAAAAATAATAAAGGCAGGATACAAATAAAAATAAATAAAACCCCCATGTTTTAAGGCTGGGTTATTTGTGGGACAGCCTCCCCAATTATTTCTGCCCATTCCACTAGGTCTGCCAGGTCCTTCCAATCAAAGTTTGTCATTTGATGGGACCTCAGAAATTTGCTTTTTCTGTATAGTGCCTGCCTTCTATAACACCATATGCGTACTGAGTTTAGATTGATTCTAACCTTGCTGGTCTTTCATAAAATACTGGATGTGGATGTTTTTCAGGGCCTGGGGATTGGGAGGTTAGATGGTCTGTTAAGAGGTGTCTTTTATTTATTTATTTTATATTTAATCTTTACTATTACTCAAGGTAGCAAACACACCTAACGCTCGTTCTTCCTGCTATTTTCCCTACAACAAACCTATGTGATGGATTGGATTCAGAGGTGATTAGCCCAGGCATACTCAACTGGCTTTCATATTTAAGGCGAGACTACAACTCACAGTTTTTTGGTTTTTAGGCCAGCACTATGGTATACCCACTGTCCTATAGAACAGGGGTCCTCAACCCATGGCTGCGGCATGCC